CTACTTGCAGGGTCGTTAAGTGGTAGGGCCACGTGACCTTGAAAGTTGAAAGTGAATGTTCCGCGGCTCACCTGAAACGGATAAGGGTGAAGTGCGCTGTGAGCGGACGATTTAATGGACGAATGTCGCGATTTTCGAAGTTCGAAGTATACAAGTATTGTTGTTCATGGATTCAGTGTATTCGACGTACTTTTAATTGTTACTATTATAACGCCTTAATAAATAACGATTCAATCTACTGCGTTTTCTTGTCGATGGGACATCCCAAGCTTTCCTGTTCTACTTTTGTGTTACAGTGGAATTGCTGACAAATGTGAATATTGATTTGTAAATATTTCTTTTTGTTCACGTATTATCTTGCACTTCAAGGATTATGTACATTTGGACAATCAAAAAGAAGTTCCGAGTTTATGAATGTTTTTTTAGTTAAAGTGTTAATTTTTAAAAATTCCTTTTATACTAGTGGAAGGTATAGCGTGAAAGAGCGATCCTGGCAATGAATGAATTATTTCGCATATTCGCGGAGGGAATATGTTATACGTTATGGGTACGGCCTACTGACGATAAAATTATTAATACGTATAAGCTGGATCGTTAGCAAAGAACGGCGAATGAATGGTAAAAAATGGCACTAAAAAATTACGAGTATTCAAATCACTAATTACCAGTAAAAATTGTAAAGGAATTTTTCCGACAAAGTGGTGTATCGCAATTCTTGTGTGAAGAGCATATTGATGAACAGCACGCTCTTAGTTTTTCTTCTTTTACATTCACACGAGCTGGGAGACAAATGTCAGACTTCGTTGGAATACCTGAGCGTTTACACCCTTTCAAATGGAGACGATCGTTTCCCGACAGAACAAAGGCTGTTATTTCCCGGATAACGGCCGTTCAGGAAGAAACTACTCTGCGATCTAGGTAAGCGTCTAAGATAACGTATTGCAATATATGATTTATTACTATGCGTATATAAATTACGGTTTATTCGCGATGATTATTCGACTGGAACAGTTACATCTTTCTGTTATATATGACTCTATCATTCGTATTTAAATTTGGATTTAAATGATCAATAATTGAGCAATGCAATAGACAATATACCATTAATAATTTTTATCAATGATCCCATCTCAGAATTTTTCAAAAAGCAATCGTAATTTATATTTTTGTAGAGCATATACGTATACGATATTACGTTGTATTTAGTATTTCCCTTTTGAAGTTTCGTGTATCATCGTTATAACTTCATTTTTCGACCACTACATTCACGTTGATTCCGGTTCGGTGTACCAATCGCGATTATATTATAGTTTTCGTTTTGTCGGGAAGTATTCCAAGAAGTGGCGTGTTTGTTCGATTAGGTTCAAGATACTAGGCGAAATGAAAGTGGTAATTATCATAATTAGCTCGGGCGAAAAATTACCTGCACGCTTTGTATCCGTGCCTCCTCCTTCCTTCTTGTTATTCTCCTAATTATGTCTTGCATTGTTACCCGCCGAAGAACGCGAGAAGACGACCCAGCCCCGAGAAAGCAATATTTATACACGAAATTCACTTTTTATAACTACTTGGTTCCCCCTTTGCGTGGTACTTTCAGAAAATAACTATCGCTAATGCTTGGTACACCGAAAATAGCGGCTCGTGTTACTTTTTGGAATTTGAAATATTTCTCTAGTACTTGTAGACGCTGCAGTTATCAGCATTCAAGATCCCAAAGCTTTCTTTGGAAGCACCTTCAATTACAGCCATTCGTATTAGATCTCTATTTTCGGCTCCGAAGTACAAACGTCGCTCATTACGTGGGCGATATCCTATTACGTGAAAATGCACGCGAGCTAATGGACCGTCCCGGCGTATATGTAACACGTAGAGAAGGAATGAGTAGCGGGAACAAAGACGGTGCTCAGGAGACGGGATTCGAAAAACAAAGACGGTGCTCAGGAGACGGGATTCGAAAAACAAAGGGAAAAGCAAGAAAATTTTAACGCCGTATAGCCAACGCCGAACGCCGGTTCCTCGGCTCGAGACGTATAAAAGCATTGCATCGTCTTAGTTACGGTATATTTTTGCGCTATATAAGCAATATAGTCTTTAGTTTATGTCCGAGACGGTGCAGTTAAACGTTGCGAAGACTTTTATAGGCCTATACGCAAATTCCCGTACTTATCCCGGTTACGACGCCTGGCGCATTTCCACGTAAAAGCGGATACACGTGTGTGCAAAAGCGTGCACCCTCGCGATGTCGTTTCTTACACGCCCCGATGGGAACGACATCCGCGATCCACGGCGCGAGATAGATGGGTCCCGTGACCGCCGGATAACGAAGTGTTAACCCTTAATCGGTAGCGAATATTTTTCAGGATGATTAAAAGCTACCCGATCCCCCGCCGTTTCTTCCGCAACAGGCGTTCCCGGCGAGTTTTGTAAGCGTAATAGCGCACCTTTGATCGTGCAAACTCGTCGAAGGTGAGTAAGTAAACGTAGGATGAAGGATAAACATGATAAGAGTACGTACTTGGCAGAACAGTAACGACAAAAGAGGCGATGGAGCAACTAAGGAGCTCAGTTCTCGAAATATACGTAGCATCTTTTAAATGTTGTTTGGAGATGATGCGAGTAGAAACGCCGTCATACATAATTTAATAAGATAAATATTGATATTTTATGAGACTGTTGCATGTGCGCATTCTTAGAGTCGGTAAGCAAAGAATTCGCACTACAGTGGCTGAGAGTATTATAAGCGCGCGGGAAGAGTATCGTAAACCTCTCCCCATGGGTTTAAGCCAGCGATCCTCAACCTTGTCTTTTAGAGAGATATTTTTTCTGGGTAACAGAGTGGTTAATTGTAGTTTACAGTTTTTCACGATCAAATGTCTCGCAACTGTCAGTTTAAATACGCTTTTCAAAGTATCATTTTCGTTTGTCTTTCTTGCTGTATCTCGCTGAATTTCCAACGTTTAACGGAGTCTTAGAAAAAACGGAGAACTCGTTTCTTTTTTATATAATTTATATTCATTAATTAATGGTAGGAAGTAACCGGATCTCCTTAAAGGAGGTTCTTTAGAATAATAGTGTCGGTTATTCAAGTGACGCGTATTCTTTCGGACACTTAAATAACGCAGATAACGTACACATAATAATGCACGCAGATATTTAATTTATAAGACGTTAGAGTTTTTTCGCAATTATTTCAATTGACGTTAATTATAGTTTCGTATGGCTTCTTAGCGTCTATATATGGTTAATAGTTATTACTTTCAGTCTTCTCCTTTAACAGCTGATTGCTTATTAAACGTGTGTGCAAATAAATTTTGTTAGCTGGATTTTTAATAGAATTAAAATCTTTTCAGATGAATTTAATATTTATAGGCTCTAAGGAAACCAAGGTAACTGAAAGAAGTGTTATTAGATTGTCGTGACAACAAAACGTGAAATTCGTGAAAGCATTACAGCATTACTTTCATTCAACGCTGCATGAATGAAGCTACAATCTAAACAATCTAAACTAACGGTCAAAAATAGAATAATCATCAACACCTTTTCCACTTTCTACTGTACATCAAATTTCCTCAAGTACTAAAAAATTTAATCACTCTGTTCCTCTATTCCTCATCCGCATTAAACGGCGCGCACACGCAATAACTCATTGTAATGCACTCGTGTTTACTGTACCCGCAAATTGGAATAATTTAATGGCAGTCACTTAAATGCCGATTTAACATTCTGCCGAAAAGAAAAAAAGTGGATACCTCGAAGCAGCGTTTAACCAGATGAGTAGCCATTATGTACCACCATGTTCGGCCAGCTACTTTTTCCACGTGTAACGATCCGCACTTTCACATTTTGTACAAATAAAAATAACGATCTAGATAATTAATTGACACGCGGAATGCCGGAAATTTCTTCCAGTACCGGCGAATTCTGTGTCTACGCGTGGAACTAAAAACGCCATTACCTAGTATCGCGTTTGCTATCCAATATCGCCGACAGCGGTATCAGATATTCAGGACAATTAATTAAATTCTGGCTTGTCCGTGCCTGTCCGTGTACAGCGGACCGTGAAAGTGTTCGAACGCTTTTGGCGCCGGTGGATCCTTTAATTTTCACGTGTAAAAACACGAAGTTAAGTGAAGTTTCAGAATAATTTTGGAAGGAAGAAAATTTTTGTCTTATGTTTCGTTAGCCAACAATGACGAGTAACGTCGTATTTTCGTAATCGTGAAATGATATAATATACCAAAAGTTTTATTTTATTCAACCCCTAAATAAATAAATTAAAACATTCATATCAGGCTCGAAGAAACTAAAGCACCAAACGAACTCTTTTCTGATCCACTGTTACCTGCGTTTGTGTGAGTAGGGACCCACAAAGTTTCATCGGAACGATAAAAAAATGTGCATATCGTTCTCGACGTACGATACGATCGATCAGAGAAAGCATCGATGTTCTCGATGCGCCAATTAATCGCGACTCGATATGCGAACGAACTTCATTGCATGTTACGTCCTTCACAAATTATATCTTTCGGGGCGGATACTATTATTACAGGAAGCATCCTCCTCGGCTTCTTCTTTTCTCTCGTTTTATTCACAACAAGAATTTTCGGTATTACGAGAACGTATGGCTCCCTTATCTACTCACCATTACTTATGTAGGAAGGTATTCGCGATAAATGATCGCCTCGCGGCAATTTAACACCAACGAATGTTTATAATGCTTCAGAGTTGCACGCATCGCGAGCCACGGGCGAAACGATTTATTAATAAGATATTCAACTCTGGGTGATACGACGTTTTAAACGATAATTGCGTGGTCTCTTTTTTTCTTGGTCAAAGAATAGATTTTGTACTTTTGTACTTTTGTTACTCAAGGTTTTTAAAATATTTCTAATATTTGCATAATGTTTATATCATGGACCGTTACGTTAGGTTGATTAAACATGAAACTTTAGGGGACTCTTTTATATTGGGTTACAAAACAAATTTTTTGCATAACCCTACATTGCAATAAGGGCGCTCTCAGGGGCTGTAGCGGTGTTTGTAGCTACAGTACGGGCTTAGCAACCCCGAGGTACCCGAGCTAGAGAGAGGCCCCAATAGATGAGAAGATGATTCTAAGAGATACCGCAAACTGTATTAAAACAATGCAAGAGTAATGTAAGACGATGATAAGAAGAATGGAAAAGTAAGCAATAGTGCAATAACTTTGTATAATAAGTTACGCATTTTAAATAAATGAATGATGAATGAATGCAATAAGGGCCAAGGAATATAGCGAGCAATAGCAATGCCAACGTACTATGGCATTGCGTTAAGAGCGACGAGAAGCAACGTAGCATAAGACAACGACAATGGAATTGCTCAAGGCAGTACGGTATCGGAATAGCGGTGTCAATGGACATTGGCAACGCACACATCCAACGACGAAGACGATGTTTAAGCCAGCGGAAGGGGAACGAACAACCACTGATTCACACGTGATTACACTATGTAAACATGCACAATGTATACTGGATGTACGATGGTAATTGCAATGGCAATGACAACGCGATATGGAGATATGTTCCTTGGCAATGGCAATGTCAATGGCAGCAGTAAACGTGGACTGTAGTTAATGTGATCACGAACGGGTGGTGTTACACAAAAGTACACAATGAAAATGTTACAAAGCGACAATTAGGTTGTGTGGAACAACTTGGGAGAAATATAGAAACCAATGCTGATAGTTTGAAAATAGTTTGGATGTATTTGGTATTAAATAATATGAACGCGTTTTAATAAAAATTTCAAAAAATCACGAGGCTTGTAATATTTATAGAAGTGGAAAAACAAGAAAATAATTCTTTCTGTTAGATGAAATAAAACCTATCTAAAGTGAAATTAAAGAATGTCCTCATTTTGCTATCTGGAAATGATAATCCTTGCCAGGGTACGTTTTTATCCGATATACGTCTAATATGAGTACTCTGGTTTATAGTCGTAAATAACGCAAAATATTTCCTTTATAGAAAATCAAATAAAACCGGTGCAAGATAGAGCTAAAGAAAGCCACCAGTAGTCTCGTTTTACTGTCTGAAGATGATAATCCTTGTCAGAGTACTTTTTTATCTAACGTTTTGCTACGTGTTGGCGAGTAATGAAGAAGTAATTCCTTTTTAGAATATATAGTAAATGTATCCAAAGGGGAATTAAAGAACTCCATTGCTATTCCCGTTTTACTGGAGTTGTTAATCATTGCCAGAGTACCTTTTTATGTAACACTCTGCTACCGTTTTGGCAATCACGGTGACACGTTATGGCGCTTGCCGTAGGTCGTGGAACGCGTCGATTCTAAGCTCGACTTCCGTATTGGCAGTCGTTTAAACGACACCCGTTCTCGACATTGTGGGACGGTTCGCTCATTATCCATTGTAACCATCTCAATGTCACGGTTAAATTCTACACTGACCGTGCGTCTGCATAGCCAGTCATAATCAATACTGTTGCCAGGAAGAAAACAGCAGTCTCACCGTGAGGCGTGAGAGATATAATCTGAAATGCATTTATCACCCTTCTAAATTACTTTACAAAGTAATTAGTTCACTTGAATCTGCTTAATGGGCGTTCGACGATAAAGAACGAGAAACGGAGCACCACGGATGACGGACCACCTTACATTTTTGGGCATGCGTTTCCGTTTCACTTGTTCTCTTTTAAGGGGTCCGTTTTCGATCGTTCTGCAAGATATTCGAGAATCTTATATCGATTTTAACAGGGTACGCACAGTTTTTATAGCGAAAGTTAATTAAGTTGAAAACGCCACGTCATCCGCACATAGGTGAAAATAAATCTTTATAAATGCGATAAATTTTGAAAAGGATGTGAAAAATTGCAGTAAACGTGTTAATAAAAAATAAACGTAATTTTTCCAGTACAAGTATTAAACTTGGTATATACGTGAAGTTTTTCGTTAAGATATCTTTAAAAGTGGCCAGGATACGTGTACTGTAAAATTACGCTTTGTTTTAAATTAAAATGTGTAATTAAATCTTGAAGAAATCCGAATTTTCCACTAAATCTTATAATTTCTACACGTAACCGAAAACAGTATTCTCATTGGCCGAGAATTTTAACTTCGGAGATGGATTGCATCTGTATACTACAGAGAGTTTAACGAGCGTGATTATAATATTTTGTAATCAGGTAGGTGAGAATAATCTCAGTTTCTTTATTTCTCTGCCCGAGGTTGGTAATTTAATATTAATTCATATTATTAAAACCCTGGTATTTGTTACAGCAGTCAGTTTAAAAAGAAAATCAACAAGAGGAGAAACGGTGATGGACTTGCTTCGTAATGGCTATAGTTTAGTTCAGGACAATTGTGTATTCCGTACGAGTAAAAAGATGAAAATTAGCCGCGCGTTCCAGGTGCTCGATGATTTTATAAATAATTGAACGTCACGTTATTGAACGTCACGTTTTACGACGAAACGAACGTTTTGAAAGGCTACACTTAAAGTAGCGGTGATATTTAATTACCTGCCATAACGAAAACTAATTGCAAGTTGGCTCGGAATCATATCCGTTCAAAGAAAAAGTGGAGGATTATGGTATTTATTTACAAGCAAATCGACTTCGATTTCCACGATTTGGAGATAAAAAATTATTCTCGAGACATCGATAATAACGGTTATGTACAAACAAGAAGCTACTGTTGCGTTAAAGTGGATATAAACTTTATGAATATTTTATTTAAATAACATATTAAAATGCAACGATACGTATTCAATACATAATAATTTGTTTGTGATAACATGTAATTAGAAACGCTGGATGTGTAAAGTAGGTCAAATAGCCGCCATCTTGTAGCAAAATGAGCATTTGCATTTCAGATACTACACTTAAGAAATTAAAGGAATTTTAATATCGAACAAAATATGTACGTTCGCAAAATGTGTACTAAACTAAACATTCATGCAGAATTATAGACAAAATTGTGCAAATCAATCGAATAAAAAGAAAAAAAGCATTTAAAAAACTTGATATCCGTTGTGCTTCGTAAAGAAACCTGGCGTTGCATTCTTACAATGCAATTATCGCGAGAACGGTAATTAACGATAAACTACATTTGTCATTCTTGACGATACATAATAAACACGGCACGATAAATGACTGAAATTGTTTTACTTGGGTTTAATGTACGCTACATATGTATTTAAGGTTCACAGTGCACTCGTTAAATGTAGTCATACGTACTATATATAATTCTCAAGGTTAATCCGTTATTGCGTAGCAAAATATGAATAATGTATCGGCTTACTCAAAGACGGTACTTTATGCAGGATGTCCGAGTAATTGCAATACAAACGAGAAAGGGACGATTCCGTTTGAGAAAAAAAAATAAATCTAAAATTTAACGTAAAATATGATTATGTTAGATAGCGACCACTCGCTAACCAGAGAAACAATCTTATTTGTATAAATAATCACTCTATTTTCGGTTGAACCACGATTATTATTACAACACTCTGTATATCCAGTAACTTTAAGGACATTTCTAGTTAGGCAAACCATTAGTTAGGTAATTATTGAATTTTTCTTAACGACAAGATTATGAAATACATACGTGAAGTCTTATCGACATATGTATTTAGTACGTTTAAGTGCATCGCCTGGAGTTTGTTAAACAAATAACTATTAAAGTGTATCAGTGTGGTTATCGCTTCTGTTAGAATATCAAGTCGATTGGCAAATTACAAACGTCGTTTAAAGTTCTAACGACCGTTCCACTAGGCAATATATGTAATTCTGGATACATGACTTTTCGCTTATTTCTCTTTTCCTTTTCCTTTTAGTTTTGTACTTCACGTACATTTATTCAATTGAGGTTTAAATAAATTGGGTCTCGCATAGCTCTATATGTTTGTTTATTAACACTGAAACTAATGCAGAATTAACTTTATTAATAAATTAGTATATAGAATAGATATACACCGAACGAATCATTTTTCTGTTTAAAAAAAAAAAGAAACTAGAAACAAAAATTAAGGATATAACTTATATTATTATTCTGAAAGCTTCCTTAACATGTTATGTCACCTGCAACCAAAACATCGAAAGTCGATATTTTCTCAAGCGTGTAATTTTTAAAAATATTTTCTTTACGTTTACGATTACTATCCTTGAGTTGAATAACAAATAAATTTTTGTTAATACCGTTTCGCGTACAAATTATTGAAATAACTGTTATTTTTGGTTCCTGGTAAATAGTCCCTCGTGCATCGTTCCCCACGCCCACCTGTAACGTTTTCAGATTCTACCAAATTCCACACCTGAAAATTCCAGTTCGAGGAAAATTATATAGCTTCTGGATACAAAATGTATACATTCCGCAACACAGGGTCGAGGGCAGCTACAAGGCGTGCATAGTAACCAAACTCGTCGATGAGCGCGAATGGTTTAATTCTACCCGGAGGCGAACGACCGTTTGCTACCTGGTCTGGGGTAGCGTGCCATATTTTGCGAAATTTTAGGAGAAATGACGGTGGTTTCCATACATAGAGAGTATACGTGTTACGAAAACGTTCCTTAATAGGGGACAACACTGTAACGACTCCCCCTCTCATTAAAAGAGAGATATTTTCAGAAATCTTTTATAAAGCAATTAGACGATGAATTGGTTTGAAGCTTCCATTGAGTTTATTTTATTCTGAAAAGAATGTGACTGGGTTGGTTAAATTAAGCGTTTTCGCATTAAGTTGCGCTCGATTGAATTATTTTTCCTCCTTATAGAAATACTCCTTATAGAAATCCACAGGTTCTATCGCGCAGTGACATTGTGCGACCGTGGACTCGCAAATTATCGAATTATCGTGCTAATAGACAGAACATCGAGGCAGTAATGGTTGCTCGGTTTTTGGGGTCGAGTTCGTGGCCATTAGACGCGTCTCGGTTCATTCATAAATTTTAATGCAAAGTCGGTTATGATGTGTGCACTTGTACGCGCACCGTAACAGCTATAATCTGCGAACCCTATTTTAATTTATGGAACAACGATACGCGTTGAGGATCTTCTCACAATCTTCTTTCCATTTCATGCGATTCAACGAAAGTGCGCTACATTGCTGTTATTATACCGTCTAGATAACGCATGTAAATATGCATAATTAATGACACGTTCTTGAGATAAATTCATTCATTACATTAACAATAACTAAAACAGTAGTCTTCGTACTTGTCGAGTGGCTTCCTCTTGAATAAAGGAAGATTTTCTGCGCCAGAAACTTTAAACAAAGAATTTTTGATATGTTCGTCTTCATTAATTTAGAATTTGTTGATTTTGATTAAATGAATTCTAAGTTTATTAATTACTTTGTGGCAGTAAATACTGGTTAGTCTTTCGCGCATCCAATTTGCGCACCACGTGCTGTTTCATTGTCAGCTGTGTGAATTATCTACATTGATTGAAGTTAATAAAAATGTTCATTATGAATTTGATATATAAATTTAGGAAGCGTTTGCGATCATGTGTACTTTCATTTAAAATAAAAAGATTTCCTTTATATTAATAGAAATCGATGTTTGTATTGTCAATATTTTCCTGTATTGAGTAGTTTTTGGAACTTAAGTACTAGCAATAGTCAGAATTTAGTTTACTATGAAACGCAAGAAGATTTTAAACCATGTTTTTTAAAGAACAGTTTTGAATTTTATCGATAATCGAACTAAAGTATCGACAGAGCTGCAGGTTTCCCGTTCCTCACGCTAGAAGAACATGTGGCGTACATTCTCAATCATATGTTTTGACATGCGATCCAAACTGCGTGCTTTATTTGTTTAATTATATAAAGGTGACTCTTTATATGCCTAGAATACTTTAAGTTAAGTCTTATAATTGCTTATAAACGTGTAACTAATTTTGTAATTTCGTAAAATGTTAAAATAAAAGCCACAAGGTTATGTTTACGAACATGTTTATATTAACCTCAAAAGTCGTGAAAGTATTACTTTTAAGTTTGATTTCTTTATTGTGAGTGATACACAGTACTCTCAACAAAACTTTCTAACCTCCAATTTATATTTGGTAAGTGAATTTAATGCTACAATAAATTTATATGCATGATAGTTACTGTACGATAAACCTAACCTATAGCGTATACACTTTCTTTATTTCCTCTGCGTATTTATGATTTGTATGTTGTAGAGGCTGTTTGATTATGAATCCTGATCAGCAACAAAAGATTTTAAAGATTGAAACGTTTATCAATGATGTATTGAAAGAAGACCTTGCTAAATTAGAGAAGAAGCTTGACGATAAGAATGCAGACATTGCTGAATTTATTCAATTAAAATCCATAATTGAGACCCTTCAGAGCAATGAATTCGATAAAAATGGCTTTAAAACGCAAGTAGACATTGGGCAGAACTTCTTCATCGAAGCCCAGGTTCCCGATGCATCCACTATTCTTTTAGATGTTGGTTTAGGCCATTACGTGGAATTTTTGCTCAATGATGCTATAACTATCATTAATGTGAGAATTAAACTGTTGGAACAGCAAATTGTACACTTTCGCAAACAAATAGCAATGACAAATGCTCACATTAAACTACTTCTCCTCACTATACAATGCTTGTAGTAGTCTAACACTGTATATATCGTCTTTCTCTAAATGTCTGTACATATGGAAACACTGTGAATAAATGTTACCTGTCTTTTGATTTTTGTTGTTTTATTGTTTTCTGCGTTGGCCGCTGCTGAGCATAATTCATTCGGTAATCTAATTTAATGGAAATCGTTGTCTGTGCTCCATTAATTTACCACTGCGAACGGCGGGCTTTTGTTTCCTCGTTAAGCGCAATTGCGTGAATTTACGAGGACCTTGTGCTTTGCTTATAAGTGATAGAGGTCAATCGCAAACGGATCAGTACGTTCCTCGCAACAAGCTGTTTTCTCATTTTCGCGACGCCTTCTCCCTTGAAGCGTTCCTTTAATGTCGGATTGGCGTAGCATCCCATGCGTGGAAAGACACAAAGAGTTTCTGGAGAAACTTATCGCGGCCTTGATCGATTGCACGTTCCAAAGTGTGTCTCGTGATAATCCTGTATCGAGATGGAGGGAACCAGGTCACTTGCGGGACATCATAAATTTCGATTTGGAGGACGGGCCACGGAGCCAGGATAGTCTGCTGGAAATAGCAAATAAAGTTTTCAAATACAGCGTTAAAACTGGCCATCCCTACTTCATGAATCAGTTGTTCTCTGGGTGAGACGATTAATGCACGAATTTGATTTTGGGAACAATCGCAAGCTTCGCATGTTTCTTTCTACGAATTTATTTGATGGAAATTTTAAGTGCGATAGAAGATAAGAACAGTTTTTCAAATGCCACCTGAATTACCCTTTAAATAGACGCGCATTTGGCCGCGAAACTTTAAAAAAAAAAATCTGTCAATTAATATTTAGGAAAACAGTCATTATGCCTCACAATGCCTCTGAAACTAATAATACTTTTAATTAACGAACAGACATATGAACAGATTTATTTGATGTAGATTGGATCCCTACGGTTTAGCCGGGCAATGGCTCACCGATACATTAAACTCTTCCGTGTACACGTACGAGGTGGCACCCGTTTTAACATTAATGGAACAATCTGTGATTACAAAATTACTGAGGATGTTTTACAACGAAGAAATTGGTATTTCTTCTGGAGATGGCCTTTTCTGTCCAGGAGGTTCCTTCTCAAATGGCATTGCTATTAACTTAGCCCGATTTTGGTTCAGGAAGAAAACTCAAAGTGTGAGTATTTAGATCAAGGATCGACATCACAACTGTTTCAGCGCCTTTTTTTTATGAACACGTCCAATGCATATCATTGTATAGCAATTATATTTAATGGCATGTTTACATTTCAGAATAAAAATGTACCATCTTCGAATTTAGTGCTCTTCACATCCGAAGATGCGCATTATTCGGTTTTAAAGTGGGCAAACGTTTGTGATGTGGAAGTCATTCTCATAAAGACCGATAATCACGGTAGAATGGATGTTAACGATTTAAGAGCCAACATAATTGAAGAACAAAGAAAGGGGAATTACCCGATTTCTGTTAGCGCCACTGCAGGTATGTTAAGGAACTACATCAAATATTCATGCGCAAACAACGTGGAAATTACATTATGCAAAACACAATATCGAGGAACAGCTCTATATTGTTAATAATTATGTTTTTTTATGTTAATTTTTAGGGACGACAGTCCTGGGTGCTTTCGATCCACTAATTGAAATTGCGGACATTTGTCAAGAATTTGATATGTGGCTGCATGTTGATGCAGCCTGGGGAGGTGGTTTAATATTCAGCAAAAGGCATAGCTCTCTTTTGAGAGGAATACAAAGAGCAGACTCTATTCTGTTTAATCCTCACAAATTACTAGCTGTCCCTCAGCAATGTTCGTTGCTTTTAACTAAGCATCAGAACATTTTTAAAGAAGCACATTCCAAGCAAGCTCCCTACCTCTTTCAAAAAGATAAGTTCTACCCTGCAGACCTAGATGTTGGGGACAAGTATTTGCAGTGTGGACGCAGACCAGATGTGTTGAAGTTTTGGTTCATGTGGCAGGCTAAGGTAATCTTATATACAAATTAATTGTTAGTTAAATTTATTCCCATTTGTCAACAATTCCTTTGCTTAGTCTCAGCATAAAATATTGTCTGTGTAAAAATTCCTTTTCTTCAAGTATTGTGTAGTCTTTTGCATGACATGCTCCGGACACAAGATAAGACCTGCTCGTATGGCATAGAGGTTCCCCTTATTAATCTTTAAGTGTCAACCACTTATGCAAATTTGTCGAAAACTAGCCTTGGTAGCACTTTTTCCCCTGACTTTCCCCTGACCTTCCTTCAATTGTGCATCTTGTACTTTGTGGTAAGCTGCTGCAGCGGTGCACTCCGTACAAGTTAAGGGTCTGTGTGCTATGTTTCAAGTGTTTGCCAGTATACTTATGCATACATTAACTTCCCCTGGTAGGAAGAAAGAATGTTCATACTGCACCTATTCATTGGGTTTTCAAGATCATAAAAGAAGCTCCTGAAATTTTCAAGGGGGTCTGACGATAGCAGGGCATTTAAACCAGAGACTTTCTGTTCCTATCTGGCAATTAAGCATCACCACCATGTTATAGTTTTTAATAGTTTGCCATAAATCATATTTTTTTATAATTTTAACAGGAAGGTGTTTAGAAGAACAGTATTCTTAGACATGTCAATATTCAGGAGTTGTACTTTCAATCAATTCTTCATAATTTAAAAAGACATTAAGATAGGTGTAAAATAAATTAAGAAAATACAGTATCATTATTAAATTATAAAGTAAATTCTGAAAGTATCCACATTTTTTAACTATTTTTTTGTACATATCTACTGTAATGTCAAATTCATCTCTTCCTAACATACATGACACTATGATGACTGAAGAAAACTGGATTCTACTGATTCATTGTTAATTAGGGATAAATATAAATGTGTTATGTTCTTTTGTTAGTAGAATGTTATAAATAATCATTGTTAATAGAGTGAATAACATTGTTTTTTAAGTATTCACTGTCTCATCAAGAAAACTTTCACTTCATGAATTGCATGGATGTAGTTTCTCCTTCTAATGCATCATTAAAGCACCAAATGTGCTATAATTAATTTTATTAGCATTTGAAATGTTTTCTTTTATATTTACATAGGAATGATTTTTGCAATTATTTATTTGTTTGGTTGGTATTATCTATTTAATGTGATTCTGTTTTAGGGCGCTTCAGGGTTTGAAAAACATATTGATCACTTAATGACACTCTCGGCACTTTTTAAAGAAGAAGTTGAAAATAGAGAAGGCTTTGAGTTAGTGATAGATTCGTGTTTTATAAATGTGTGTTTTTGGTTTATACCGCCATCACTAAGAGGTCAAAATTCATCGTGTAACTACAAGAGCCGATTAAACGACGTAAGTGAAATAATGTATTTATATTGTAGTTATAGTCTTATGTAATAATATGAAAATAACGAATGATAAGATTCCTTATCGTTATGAAAAGAACATATTACTAGATGATCTATAGATTTGTATCGAGTTTAAGTTGGTGAGACTGGAATCCCAATGTGGTTGGCAGTACTGATGTACTTTTTTGTTATGTGTGACGCGCGTATTTACATATAAATATATTTGAAACGTGATAAACACAACACAGTTTATTTGAGAATGAAAATAAAAACAAAGGATAAATTTAATTCGCATCAATAATCAATAATGTCGGCAGTAAGTAATCATAATAGAGTTTTGCAAAATTTAAAAAAGTAGTTACAAGCAGAGATTCAAAAGAGGATTTTAAATTGGTGTTTTTTCTTTAATGGAATTAAGAAATCAATTTTTTAGACAGATGTAAGAAGACAGAAAATTTCAAAAACGATGCCACGGGAATTACATTTTGAAAAACAATGTTATATTTTTGTAATTTTAGTATGAAGTGATTTTATCGACGATAAGTGCAACAGGAACTTTCGTTATCTCTCGTAGATATCATGTTATTGATTGTAGGTATTAAAATTTATCGTTTAAGTAGATTTCGCTTGTACCAGCAGTTGGTTTAATTCTACTTTATCGTCTGATTCTTACAAGTTCGATATCAAATTATTTATATACCCGAAAAATTAAAATTTGAATACAAATATAAGTTTAACGTATCTAATATCTCCTAAGTCTAAAGAATACGTACTCAATAAAAAGTATATTTTTAAATTTCTGTTTTTTATCAAGGTTGCACCGAAGTTAAAAGAGAAGATGACCAAAAGGGGCAGCCTAATGATCAACTATCAGCCGCTTCATGGAAAACCGAACTTCTTTCGGTTCGTGATACAAAATTCAGGAGTGAATACGCAGGATATTTATTACGTTCTCGACGAGTTGGAGAACCTTGGGGAGACTATTTAAATTTCGCATTTATTGTATAAATCAAATCACGCATACACAACTGTATACAAAAACAAAAAACTATCAACAATACAATAAATCAAGTTAAAGTAATAAATGAAATATACTTTAAAGGAATATTAAAATTGAAATCAATATCAGTGAAATGAAAATGGAGTTTCATTTCCATTTTGCCGTTCTCTTTATACCTTGTTTACATAAATTTCAATGTTGCGTTATGGAGTTAAAATAAATGCACGTTTCGATTAAAAGCTTTATTTTTCTACGGTAAAAAATGTCCGGTTTATCCGGCGCCACGCGAACAAAGCAACGAATTCTAGCCACGACAATCAATTCCCGCGAGTTAACTGGGCGAAACCTAGCAGCCAGTTGATCTGATTAGGCGAGGGACCGCCACTAAATTTCTGATGCCAAGGTACGAAGTCAATTCGTGACTGCCTTCGTCGCACAGCCCGCGGCGTCGCTTCGTACCCGCCCGACTAATCCTGATACAAGTGACAGCATATAGAGAAGCCCTATGTATATTTATAGAACTACGTTCGTACTATGTAGAACATAATGATTTGCGACCACGGCTGTAGCTCATTCTACCGAAAGGGGCGTCTGCCTGGCGTTGTTTTCGTATAAATCTCTCGATAACGGCGATTCAATTGCCATTCAATTTGCAATTATACAGCACCGACCGTTTCGTACCATATTTTCCGATAAATAATTATTTCTTTGAAACCTTGTCGTACGTTCATTCGTTTCGCAATATTTCCATTCGATAGTCCATACGCGTTTCATTGATTTTCAGTCGAGCAGTTGCTGATCGTAGTTAGGGTAGATTTTGAGAGAACAGGAAAATGGTACTTGACTGTTTAATCGATTACTGTATGAATTTTATTTTATCTTTTAAAAGAGATAATTTAATTGTAGTTCTTTTTTTTTGTCTAGAAGACCATGGTAAGTGGACACTAATCTGCTTCATTTAGATATAAAAGAAATGATAAAGAACCATCCCTTGTTAGGTGATTGACGTTACAGCTACCGGGTTAATCCTTGGTGGTTCACTTTTTTATAATTTAAGAGGTACGAGAATAGTAACGACAAGGTTAAAGTAGAAAATAATTTAAACTACATATAATAGTATAATCTGAATATTATTCACGGTTTCCATAGCGTTCGTAGTTACGTAATTATGTTTTTGTTGTGATATTTTTAATGATCAAAATATTTCCATTTCTTTTCACACTTGCCTTTGCGCAGAGGATTATCCAACAAAATGAGATTACTTCGACACGCTTGTCGACTTTGCAACACTTACTACATTTTTGTGGCTTTTCCATCTAAGCTTTATCGTTCATTTAACATATTTGCAACATTCATCGATGAACGTATTTTCATTCGCCGTCGATCAGTTCCATCGCCGCTCTATGACCAAGTATATTGTTTGTAATTATTTGAAAATCAGAAATTACTTTAATCGTTTAATAATATAACATCTTTTAAATGAACTTAAGTTATCCACCTGTTATTTGTAAACGTGTAATAATAGATATTTAAATTAGCGATTCGATATTTTAATTTTCTTTAATTTTGGCAAAATTGATTTTTACTCTCTCAAGAGGAGAAATGTCATATTTCATTCTGAAGTAGGTCTGTTGTATTTACGATAAAAGTTTCAGCGACCCGTGTTGGCAGAGTTCGATTTGCAATCCGTATGAAACATGTAATCCCGACCGCATCGCATATTCCAATCAAAAGTGACGGATGTGTGTCACGTTGATTGGTGTATAGGATCTGTAATAAAAATTTGAAAGCACTCAGAAACTGTCGGTCTCGTTGTACGAATACATTAATCCTTAAAAATCTTAGGACATTTATTATGTTTCACGTGCAACAGAATTATACAACTTCTAGCAACTAACTATACAACTACTAACGACTAATTATTCTGGCCATACCTAGCTTTAAACATATTCGTGAACATTACTATAATTATTCATTTTAGAAAAATATTATGTTTCGTATGTTTAATCTGCTGAAGGATATTCGGTAATTTCATTAATTTTTAATCGCGACGCCATCGTGTGCCATAAATTGTTCCTTCAAGGGTGTTTTTATCGCCAGAAATTTGCATTTCAATCACGATAAACCGTGTTAACGAAATGCTTAGTATTTAATTGTTGTTATCGTTGAATAGGATGTATAATTCTGACAAACAATTCCAAATGCTCGCATGCATAATTAATAATAAAAACCACGATAACGATCACGGTAATCGTGTGGAATTTTCGATCGTCAAAAGTCATGAGTTGTACAATTACCGATAAATTGCAAAATAGAACGAAATCTCGTTAACATAATGCGAGCGCCGAAAGCCTCTCGTATAAACATACCAACATTATTCTCTCGCACTTCATCGTTTTGTTTTCGACAAGCTACATCGAATAATAGAATTAAATTTGTTCATTCGTTTCGTTCATTATCATCATTATCGTCTATGCTTTTCTTCCCCAGGAACAATAAAATTTCGTATGATTTCGTAAGGATGTTGCTGTTTTATTTCACAGTTATTCTATGTGTAAACATGTCATTAAGAAATGAAAAACGAAAGAAATGTAGTTTAAAAATTGATTTGAGTTTCGGGTCTGTCGGTTTCAATCTTCTAATGTACATATTAGAGGAAGACTCGAAACTATAGAGTCAAAAATACATCAAAGGTTAAAAAAAAAAAAAAAAACACTTCAGACGACTAAAAAACACTCCATTCATTTCAATACGGTTCCTAACCACTATTATTTTCATATTTCGAATTTGCCCTAAATACCGATTCACTTTAGAGCTTTAAAAGAATAATTTTCCTCGGTAGTGTATTGAATAAAACAACCCATTTTGACGCAGTGGGTCGAGGTTTAATGCGAAAGTGCAACGATCAGACGTAATCGATAGTAAATATGCAAATAATATGCTTCACTGTACAGGTCTTGAACGTGTTTCTTTATCGTATTAAGATAGGGTGTGCGAGAAACCCTTTACAGGGAATCGGGCTTGTGTGCTACGTTCCTGTCTCCGAGTCACTGCTAGGGGTGCTTGCCCTGCGGATGAACTTAGACAGTAGGTTGCTGCCGCGAAAGACGGTGTTAACGTCGATAGTCACCATTCGAAGCGTTCAGTAACCCGAATGTCAGTCGATATCTGCAAACTCGACGGCCAGGATGGGAAAGGTCTCCCAATTAACGTGCCACAGGTACCATCTTTTTCATTTGTTCGACTGTATTTCTGGCCATTAACGGTTGTAGTGTAAATTAAATCACGCATTTTCAGCGAATTTAAAAAGCACTAATGACGTTGTGCTCGCTAATAGCGAACTGCTCGCGAATTTTGTAATAATAGAAAATTCTGCGTTGTAAGACAGTGTAGTGTTTGGGAAACAATATTGTTTTCTAGAATTATGATATAAATTCTTCTGTAACCTTTGTGTCGATTTAAGTAATTAATTTTTACGTTTTAGTGTGACTAACTTTAGCATTCATTTACGAGGTAATTACATTTAGAATTTTATGTCTCACTATCACATGATATTAATTTTTATGAATGATATTTTTGTCGCTTGAAGAACGTGGGACTCCTGGAAACGTATCGTTACGTCATGGAGGACGCAGCAGGTCAGTATTAAAGATATATTATATCCCCCTTTCAAATTATTTAACTTGTTTTGCAATATATTTGTTATATACATATTTAAATTTTATGTAATTAATAATTCATTTTACTTTTCTCTTTTACAATAATAAATTGTATCTGTATTTAATTTCTATAAGATTCATTATTTTATCGAGTAGGAAACTTATTATTATTTCTGTTACGTAATTAGTACTTCTGTCATTGAAAATTTGTATTTACTCGTCGTTTTGTAATTCATCTTATATTTTCTTTTCCAGATCCTAGAGTAGGGGATTGGTTTTTAATGGGCAGCCCATTCCCATTGTTAGGAATTACATCCCTTTATCTGGCGTTCGTTCTTCGTCTCGGACCACTTTATATGAAAAACCGAAAGCCGTTCACTCTGAACACAGTCATGATTTTCTACAACATATTTATGGCGATCGCGAGCGCTGCTGTATTCAACGGGGTGAGATCAAAGCAAGCATTTCTATTACGTTTCGACTTGAAATTTGGAATTATTTTCATTAAATCCTATAAATCCAAGTGTACCTCACACTTAAATTTACTAAATTAATTATATACATTTTACAGATGATTATATTATCTGCATAATATTGTTAAATAATGTTTTTCGAAACGCAATTATTTCGCTATTGCACTTTCTTATTGATTCTACATATAATAAGATTAATACAGTATTGCAGAACAAAATGTATTATTTATCGTATACAATCAAAATAATTTCTACGTTCTATTCTAATTTAATTATTAATTTCGTCGAAATTCTCAAATTAATAAATTTTATTTTGTGAAAAAGAAAATCGTTACATTTCTTTAAATAATTAATTTATTACTAATTCAAACATAATAATTTAATTTGCTACTTTAGTTTGTACTTGCTGCATTGCATCTGCTTGAAATATTCAACATACTTTTAAATTTTCAGCTGCTTACGTCTGGCTTTACTACAAAATTGTCTCTTGGCTGTGAGCCACACATTGTTTCGTACGATCCCGAGTCTCTTCGCGTAAGTATAACAGTATGGATCTTCAAGAAACATAAATTTGAGTCACATAAAAGTTTCATTTTTCATAGATGGCTCGTTGGATATGGAGGCTCTTAATGTTGAAAGTCTTCGAGCTGAGCGATACCGTCATCTTCATTCTGAGAAAGAAGTACAATCAAGCATCCTTCCTCCACGTTTATCATCATACGTCAACCGTTCTACTTTCGTGGATAGCGTGCAAATTTGTCCCAGGTAAATTATAGCAGCCTAACATAGAATAACGATTTATTCATCTGTATATTAAAGTATATAAAACCTGCTCACCCTTAAACGACTGTATCCAACTTCGTAGAATTTTTGCATATCAAAAAAATTCCTCGCAGAATTTCAGACGATACGCATAAGAATATTCTCTACAAATTTGATATCGATCAAACTAGTATAAGAGTATTAGTAGAGAGAATTTAAACCTTTTTTCATATCAAATTTAATTCGTTGAAGTTCAATTCAGTTGTCCCATTTATTTCGTTTCCACCGGAACAAGCGAACCACGTAAAAATATATCTGATTTCCTCCAATGTGTCGCGCGATCAACTAATTCCCGACGAACCACAAATTCCCACCAATTGAAACTGTGAATTGCGATATTTGCAGGCGGGATGTGGACGTTCGCGATTATGCTAAACTGCATAGTGCACGTGATTATGTACACCTATTATCTCCTTGCCTGCTTGGGTCCAGAAATGCAAAAGAGGATCGCGCCTTGGAAACAATACATTACGGGATTACAAATGGTACGTTTCCATTTTCTATCTGACTTCACTATCTGGTACGTTGCATACAGCTCGCAATGCATATATATTCTCGTGCCGCTCGTTGCCCTGACTGAATTGCCGTGCTGGGAGCGTTATTCGCTCATTTCACCGTGCACGTCCCCGTATCGCGTAATCGTAAAATTACATTTCGTCGCGCGGCGAATTTTTCAAAAGCAGAATTGCTATTGACGTTCGGTCGCCTCGCCGTTGGAACGCTGGCGTTGGGGCAAAGTAAATTAATCTAAGCCAATAAACGCCGCGGAATGGAAAACAACGAGTAATGAACGACTTTTTGCGGCAGCATCGTTGCGAAAACGTTTCGCGAAACAGTTACACGGATAACGATTATGGCATAAAACACTCGTGAACATGCATACGTTTCTGAGGTGAAAGGAATATACGTACGTGTTGCCACGGGTCTTGTTACGGGTACTGGGTTCATTTGGAAGAATAAGGAAAAATATTGGCTAGAAGAATGAATTAATTAGGTTGGCATTAGAGATAAGACAACTTTCACTATTGCTATCGTTTCTTTATTCCTTTTAACTATCTTTATCTCTTTAATATCCCATTGGGACCATTGGAAACTTTTTTGATTTTTTTTTTTTGTAATTCTGAATGTATAGTAGGAAAAGAAATAAAATACGACAGAAAATATAATACAATTGACAAAAAATCATACCCCAAAAACAAGGATAAATCGGGACCATTGAACAGTGAAATACGGTTTATATTTACTCCAAAATTTTTCATTGATACCTGAAAGAATTAATTAACACTATGAACTATGATTACTTATACAGGATGCATAGTATCGTTTTTTAGAAATGCTCGATTTAATTTTCGAAAGTATCGCCAGATTTGAACAAGAACGCAAAATTCAATACGTTTCACGCAACCAACTGTTACAACTACGATAAAATTGTTCTTTATGTTTCTACTGGCGTGCCAAGGATTGCAGATGAAATGCATACAGCTATAAAACATAAATGTCAACAGGGATACAACAAAATACATGATGAATGAAACCGAAAGAATAATTGAAAAGCACAACAAGGGACGAAATAATGAACGCCTGAAAAAATGCAGCAACTATTGATTGGGATTCCATTGAACTGGATGTAACAAAACAGTTAGTTACATGATTGAAAAACTCCGTGGTGGAACTCGGTCGCCTATAACAAAACGCAAACACACACGTTACTCGAAATTAACGAGTACGAATAAACACATAAATAAATCTTTTGTCTTCTGTAAGACATAGTCCACAGTCCATAACAAATTTTGTTTTGGTATTTGAATTTTTTTTTTTTCAGTTAGCGTAATTGTGAAAAAGTTATGGTTTCCTTGAATTTAATCCAGGGAAAAAGTCGGTAAGACAGTCAACAGTAAGTAGAATGACAGTTCACAGGCGTTACGAGGGCTGACTACGAAACGTCTGACCCAATACGGACCGCAACCCCTTCCAAGACTGACTCTTCCTTCGTCCAACAATAAATGCATACTTACAAATACTGACTCATCTTTCGTCCAACAATAAATACATTCTTACAAATTTAATTATAAAATGTGAACTGTGAACAATGTTTACTTGACATTATAAATAAATCGACGATCGAAAAATGTGAATGGCATTTAATGAGAAGATATAATAAATTCTATACATCCGAGCAGATTTTTCTACGGACTTTTACTATCACGCCATCAATTTTGCCAACAACTCTCTCCGCAGGATTGTTTGTAAACACGTTAAAAAGAACGAAACGAGAGAAAAAAAAAACCAGCTGGAACACGGCCGTACCTTTAGTTATCGAAACGCTGTCGAAAGGCGCAATACGTTCTCCCAATGAATACGAAACACACGGCGAGCTAAGCGTGTGTTGCACTTGGCACGGAATGCGCATATCGGCCCCATATTCGCCGATCGTCCTTCCTAACTCGATAACCAGGTTTTCACGAGGGCTGAAAAGGTCGTAAGTGCCGGATGCAGAATTACACGTGCAGTCGCGAGCAGCGATTCGATTTGGGTTCGAGCCCCGAGAGGAACAACAGCGGGATGAAATGGCGACCGACGAAAGCTCGTCCCGTAGAATGTAACGGGGAGGGTGGACAGGGGGGAGAGTGGCGTCGGTACGGTTTTTAATTAAATAATCCGCCAGTGGGAGAACTTTTATTTCTGCCGAGATATCGACGGAACGATTTATTGGCTAACGTGGTCGTTTAATTTCAAGCAAAGCGTTTACACTATGCGAAGCGGAACGTAAAGGGAGGGAGGGGGGGAGGGGGTATGAAGAGGACCCCTGACGGGGTAGAGTACCATTAGTATATTACGTATAAGGGAGAAAGACCTTGATAAGCTTGTTGGCTGTGAATGGGTATATTTGTTTTGCAATTATTTGTTTGTTTTAAAATGAAAATAAACATACAAATGCGAAAGGAGATCTTTTTCCTTTGTTGTTGCGCAAGGACAGAGCACAATAACGAAGGTGTTAAGATAATATTTATTGACACTATCGATAAAATATTCTTTTAAAATATATTTTGATAATACGTTTAGTTGAAAATAATGTTTAAATTGCAGAATGGAGGTTAAAAATATGTCGTCTGTGTTTCCAGGTCCAGTTCGTGATCATGGTATGCCACACGTTTCAAGCTCTGCTGCCGTCCTGCGAGCCAAATCGAAAACCAGTGGCTTACATCTATATGTCCCAGATCCTCACTATGTTCTACATGTTTTGCGACTACTACAAGAAATCGTACCTCAGAAAAAAGACCGAGTAACGCTTCGACGAGTATCATGGCGAGCGAAGTCTCGAATCGATTCGCAATTAACAACTAGAGATTAATTCATCGTTGAACTATAGGATCTCAATACACGTATAACGTTTCGCGTACCCATCGTGTGCCCCGGAAAGCTTATGTAATTACGACGATACGTGGATCATGCATATTAACTCGAACGTTTCCAGAATGTAGTGCTTACGATCATAGGAACGACTTGTTGCTCGTAACAGGAAGTCTTTGATATAATCAGTGAGACTACCGAACGAAAATCTTTTCAAACAATTCTGTTTCAGAATACAATAACATGTAAGGTGGCAGTTGCTATCTTTCCACCCATTTTACCCCGAAGGCAGTTTTTATCGCGTTTGTGGAAACCCTCAAAGCTTTTCGTGAGGCAAATGCAGGCTTGGATTAGAAAATTTATTTAAAATTAAGTTTCTAAAATACTGGAAAACGATATTAAGTATTGGCTGCATTATTTTAGTAGAGACACAATTGTGAAAGCAGTAGAGTTAATATAATACAAGAAGAGAAATTATTGGTTATAAAAAAATAAGTTAATATACTACAATTTCACACAAAAGTTTTTTGGGAAATTGATCTGTGTACGAATATATTCTACACCCACTGTATGCTATCTTCAAGAAAATCTAATTATTCTCCCCAGCGTTTACATTAATTCCAGTACAAGAAGCGCGGTTGATTGTCAGTTTAATTTCATCGCGTCGAACCAGTTCATGCGTTCCCACGTATATTTGTTATTAAAACTCGCCGTGAACGTCACGAGGATTAATTTTATTCAAATAACCACCTTTTCTCGGCAGGTCGTTTCGAGAAGAATGGCGATGAGCCGTATAATGCTGCCAGCCGCCGTAAAAATTATAGACTCCAGCTTTTGTGGCCCGACTCTTCATTAGCTCTTTCGTCCAGGGAATCCAGGACGCGTGTCCCGCGTAGTAATAATTCCATGGAAAAAGTCCGAACGGAGCGATCGCAGCGGCGGATACAGCGACGCGTCATTTGATATATCGTACGCGTCGGCGTACACCTGAGAGATATTTATCAGGCACCAAGGAAAAACTGTTTCGACGCGAGACAAACCATAATAGAAGAATAAAATTCGCGTATCCGAGCCAGCCCGTGTTTGTTCGCGGGAATGCTTTTAGTCGGATTCTTTTTTCATTGTCTTTCGCCCATCCTCGTCCCATCGGCGAATCGAAACGTATTACATTTTGTTGGGCACGATATATCGACAACGGTGGCGTTGCTCCGCGAGATTCTACTCGCAACCGTGATTTCGTTAAGGGGGTACTTTTTTGTTTCCAACAGTTTCGAAGCAATTTTTATGATTCTTTAAAGGGCAAAGTGATGGACAAACTTTGGAGATTTCGTACGTTTATTTATACATGAATTATCGCATAACACCAATATTTTTAACGAAGATAAGATATCATTACTCGTATTATTACAAGTATGACTGTTTTTTAATTTGCCTAATATTGTAGTAGCGATTATAATACATTTCTATCGATTTGATAATTAGAATCATTAATATGCACGAATATCTGCTCCGCTGATGAAGCTTTTTCTTGTCAGGATATGTTCTAAATGCTTATACGATTTCTAAATAATTGAAATTTTTTAACAGTTTTCTTATTTAATGTTGTGTTCACCCTTAATGTTCTCAGCTTTTAATTCGTTGATAGACTGTCAGTCCACCTGAGAGTACTTGGACCACTAAGGGTTAATATTTTTCAAAAATGGGAGAAGCTTATTCAGCGAACTAATTCCAGATAAATATATTCGCCCCTGCAGATTGATTTGGTTTTAATAAAAATGGCGATGTAGACGCGGTATGCGTACGGTAGAAGTAAACATTGCTAGGAATAATCCTAAGGATTTATCACTTATACTTACAATTATAGATTTTAAAGCGAAACTCATACGATACATATATATTTTATACATGTATTAGAGTAACATACCAAAATGTTTGTAATAAATATTATTCTATACACGTACCGAACGGTGTTGTGTATTAAGTATCATTAATAACTATACCCTTTAATTATTTCGGATTAAAATATGAATGCAAAGGCTTCCCCAAAATTGGCTTTACGATTACGATATTTAATAAAACACAAGTAGCATAGAAAATGTTCGATTGTTTTATTTCAAATGAAAGTACATATAATTAAAATTTATCGTATAATACGATAATTAGGTGTCCTGTTATTAAAAAACAAAATACCAAATTAATTTCTAAACAAATTAAAAATGAGCCTGTTGTTTGTTTGAATACAAGTTGATTAGTCATACCAACGTCAATAGCTATTATTGTTAATTCACAAATGCCGATACATCGTATTTAAAGGTAAGTTACGCATACATCTACATAGTACAAAATATTCACACAAAATATTTATATTTATTTTCTGCTGGAGGAATATATTTCATTGTATCTGCGCAATGGTCGTCTTCGTGCATACGCGAGTCCGGAAGGATGGCGTTAGAGCTGCCGTTTTCCCGGCCAGCCGAAATTAGCATAGAGGCTTAGCGCGTCCGTGGCTTAAAGTCGACACGCATGGTTGCACGCCGATAAGACTTTATTAACGTCGGGTTTATTTATCCTGTAATTTCGACCGGACCCTAACCCTCTACACTAGTACCAGTGACTTTACCTGTCCGACCTCGGGATAGGCTGGCTAACAGAAACCGTTTGGCAAGTGCGGGTTTCTAGAGTAATTACGAAGTATAAAGCTTTCGTCACTGAAACTATATTTCGTCGGATTCAACCTTTTTACGTCTTTGAAATTAGTGTCATTTTTATATCATTGATATTATTGTTGAGATTATTTTCAAAAATCTTAAAGCTTCCTTTATGTTCATTTTGATCCCAGAACTGGATCAAAAGGATCAAAAAGGATCAAAAGGATCAAAAGGACAAAAATAGCTGAAAGGATTGTCCTTCCCAAAAAGGAAAGTTTCCGCTCTCTGTCTCATTAGACTTTAACAGGAGATTATCGTTCGTTACAATGAATTATGAATATGACAAAGTCCCAAAGATGTATCCCATTCTATCCCTAGAGTACGAAATGACTCACGTGTTCTCCACTGCTACGATATTTACGGCCACGAAATAAAAAGGAGAAAAATGGACCTTCCTCTGCTAAAGGTATGACCATGCAGCCGTCTGTTTCGCCCCAGTTTTTCGAATTCATTTTTTAGATTTCTGAGGTTTACGCGTGTCCAACGTCGTGAATTCCTTTTGTCCTGTCACATTTCTCAGGATTATGTTCTTCCATCTCAAAAATATTCTTGGTGGACACCATTTTCAAAGAAGAATATTTCTTATTTAAATTATCCCTCGGCAATGTATTAAATTATCATCGTACTGAGATTTTGTCTCTGATTTGGAGCATGTGAAGTTTCTAAGTCCGAATAGAAAACTAGAAATATTGGCTAATAAAAAGTGACACTGTATCCAGGTTACCACAATCTGATTTCCCTCTCCTCGTGTTCGTCGTAGCATCATTTATACACACGCGAAATATTCCACGGTTTACGAGCTGGAGCTTTGTACGAGGGAAGTTCTCTTTGGACTTTTTCAATTTGGAAACGCAGACTTTTGGTATTCTACCTTTTCCGCTGTTCCGCGACGTTCAATGGTGTATCCTTTGATCATTGGGATTCTGGAATAGCGCGAGGACTGCCTAATGCAAACCGTTGACTAACGTCAAGCTTGCGACCTGCGACGCGCTTTGTTTTATTTTTCCCGGCGAATAAAAGTGCACGTTGACAATCAAGAAATTTTCGTTGCGTGAAAAATGGTGAAGTCTATCCCAGTTTCGAGTTTATTTTTGTGGAAAACTAGGACGGGGCCGTTGTACTTGTTTGCGACAGCTATAGTAAAACTGGCATTTAATGGGACAACAAAAAAATATAGGAAAAAATACTAAAATAAATTATGGGGGTTCGCGATCAGTTGATTTTCAATCTGTAATTTATCTGTAAATTTTGTCCTCTAACATGGTATTATTAAACTAGTGCCACTAGAAATAAAATTATCACTCATCGATGCCTAGGAATGCCAAGAAATTAAAAAAAATACAATTTGTTATAATATATTAGATAAATTAATGCAATGCGTTGAAACGACTGATTTAACCATAGCACGCATTAATTTTACATTTTGATGAGTTAAGCAAACGCAAATGAAACTACGTACCACTAATAGTAACTAAAATATACTTCTGCGGTTGCAAACTGGCATATATGTTTATTAGTATCCGCAGAGTTGGCGCAGCTGATTATATAACAAGTTTAAACTTATTCGCAAACATGGGAATATTAATTAATAACAATACAAATACAAATAGAAAGGACATAGTAGAGGGCAATGTAACCTATGCGTATATGATCGTTTGGTCCGAAATAGTCAATAAGCGATTGAGAATCTTAAATGATTATAGAGTTTATTAACAGTGTGGTCTATATTACTACTGGCATACCTCTATTCATCTTCTTACCAACAGGGAATTAAACTCTCAATTAGAATAAGCTTTATCAACAGAATATTCTACCGACAGGATGGTCTACTTCCATGACGGAGTGCTCTGTCGAACGAGTCTTACCAAGTGCACTAGGCTATCCAAACTCAAATTTTCATGGCTCATCACCAGAGTAATTTACATTACTGCCAATGTGGTCTACATTGTTCACAATAAAAATAAAACAAGGTTTCAACTAATATTATTTCATTTTTACGACTTTCAACAAAATCCGAAACATTATTTAAAACAGTGACCGATTTAGAATGGAATGACCCTCTTGCATAAACCTCTACGTGTATGGGCCGTTTAAGGCCCGAGTTAGACGAGCGTTTGTCACGCTGTGTTCAACGCGCTGCTCTTTTGTCGTCCGAATGCCGCCGGCGTGCGCTCGTGTAGTCAAATCAATTGCTAAACGTTCTATGCATTCGGACGAGGAAAACGCAGCGCTGCGACACGCACCGTAACAAACGCTCGTCTAACCGAGACCTAAACCAGCTTTGTCACATACACGCGTTACACACATCCACACCGTTTACGGATGCTCTCGCACAGGGAGTCCTTTTAGCATTGAAAGGCCACATGTCACTTCACGGATTGCTCGTAAGCTGCCAAGCTTCATGGCAAAGCTCAATTGTGCTTAAACTATTAGAATCAGGAGACACATACTCGTCACTAGACTGCGGATTTCATGTAAATATTTGTGATACAAGCGAACGTTTACGTACACTTATGGAAAACGTAATGATAATATTAATATATTAATTGTAGAATACATTCATCAGTGTGCGAATACCTTCTTGACAACGAAATTCTTGTTTAGAATCAGTAAAATATTACCAAACGCTTCTATAACTATTAGAAGGTAATGGAAATATGAAATTTGAAAAAAAAATATACATGTCGAATTGAGTAACCTCCTCCTTTTCGAAGTCGGTTAAAAATACAGAATCGGCGAGGATAACACGAATCGTGGATCCCTTGATCTCGCTGCACCGACGACACGCGACAGAGAAGATCTTGATATTTATGATCGATGTAAAACATAAGGCGCCGCGGCGTGGCCCAGGGAGAGAACGTGCTTGGTGATAGCATGCTGGAATTTAATAACCACCGAGCACGGACTTGAACTCATTTAGAATTTAATACTAATTTAAAAGAGATTAGTTCCGTATCCGGCCCTAGACAAGGATCACTACCCTCTCAGTCACCCCCTTCGTCCCGGGGCAAATTTCAGGGGCAGTAACCGGGCACAGAAGCCGTGTTCCCATGGGGGAAGCGGCTTACTTAATTGAGCTTAATTTAAATTTAATTTAATTTCCCCTGCGCTCCCCTTCGCGCTCCCCTGCTGTACTTACAGATACCGACACGCGTGTCTTTTCTCAAGTTCGGAATATTTTGGAACAATGACTGGCGAAATTAAAAGTAATTCCGTGCGATGATACGATCCGTATACTTCGGATTCTTTTTTTTTAAATTACTGGATCAGTGACAATGCTTTTGTTGAAATGTATGATAAAAATGCTTCTGCATTCTTTATTTTCAATGATGTAGTAGAATATATGAGAGCATATATTATTAAATAACAATTGCAGAGGGAAACGTCTAACTCTTTTCGACTCGTCCCAAATGCGGTATTTACGCAGTAGAAACAGCTCGTCATAAGTCAGACGCGCCTTCGCCTACTCCAGAAGGCGTAATCGCGTAATTGTGTATTTCGTTTTCGCAATAATTTAAAGGCGTGAATTTCTGAGAAACTGCAGGACTAAAACCAAGCTTTCCACCTGAAACGAAACAAATCTATCGAAACGCAAAAGTCTCCAGTGATTTTTCTCATTTCTTCGGGAGAATTTACGAGAGAAGGTTATGGCCTTTGAAAATTTTTCATTCTAAAACGCGGGAACAAATCATCGAGTTAGAGCGCAACGAGAGAAGGACCATTTCCAACAATGTTTTCATAGTCGCGCATACGCGACGCATGCATATTCATCCAAAGAATTTCCGTTGCCAGCGACTCCGAGCTATTCTTTCACGCGGCAGTCATTGCTACCATTATTATCCGTTTTTATTAAATGAACCGTGCTGTTTTTGTAATAA